ACCGGGTGGGGGTGGCTGGAGCTGTCCCGCGTGGGGTTCCCGTCCCCGTCGTGCGGGTGAGCAGGGGCGTTGGGATGGCTCAGGTGGAGAGCCTGCCCGGGGCAACACGGGAGAAGTGCCTGGGTGGGTTTCGCGTGGAGGGGATGTGCTGGGGTTGCTCGGGCACCTGTTGCTGTCCGGAGCTGCGCTTGTCCCTCTGGGGCCGTGACCCTACCCTTTCTGCTCGGTGTGCCACGGGGCTGGTGGAGGGGGCTTTGCACCCCCTCAGCCCTCCTTGTCCAGCAGCAAAGTGTTGGGAGAAGCCGTAATCTGTGGGCAGAGAGCGCGGGAGAGCAGCTGTCACGTTTAAACCTGTTAACGTTGCTGTTATGCGTTTAATACAAGACGCAGATCAACACAGGGGAACTTCTTTGCCGTACCAAACAAAAGGCTGGTGAAGTGGTGCATGGCACAGTTTTGTGACAATACAGCGTATCAGCAAAAAAGTTGCACTCGTTGTGTCTTTGGTCAAATGCCAACTCTCACTTTATCTGATGTTTTTAGATGCTTTTGTGTGTTGGGAATTTTTTTGGCTCTACTTCAGAGACAGAATGGGCAGAGTATCGTGCAGGGGCCAAGAAAGGTAAGGAAGGCGTTGTCACTCTGGATGCTGGTAATTGCACTATTTCGTGACCCGCTTCGCTGTCTCATTGCCGTGTGCTTTTGAATTCAGAAGTTGCAGTTAAACGGTGTAGTGTTAAAGCAGTTAAACTCAAGCAGGGAAACTCCACACAGGAGGGAAAGATGAGCTTGTTTTAAAACGAAACTCATTTCTGTCACGCTCTCAAACTCAGGAGCACAAAGATGCATGTGTCCAAGTGGCCTGCCCCCGATTTAGGCATCAAGACCTGTGCCTGGGTTGATCTGGCCACCACTGTTTGTAGTCATAGGAGAGACACAGGGTGCTGCTAATTGGTGTCAGGGTCTTCTCTCTCCTTGCCTCGATGTCTTATGGCTCCACTTCTGTTCCTACCATCACCGCCTTACAGTTTCAGCCTGCAGACACCAGTCCTTGTTTTCTCAACTCAGGTAGCCTGAGAAGCTGCACGTAGATGTTTACGGCACTTCAGTCAGCAAGCCACAAGATCCCAGCACGCCTGCCAGTGTGTAGCCCTTCTTTGGCCACTCCTGGTGCTTCCCTCGCAGAAATTCCCAGTCATTCCCTGTTCACGCCCACCTTCAGACATCTACCACAGACCTCTCCATGGTGTGTAGCAGTGCTGTTCTTCCCCTCCCTGCATTCAGTCCTGAGGAGAAAGGGGAAAACAGAGGTGCTGGCAGGCTGAGCATCTCTGTTCTTCAGCCATGGAAGTCATAAGGCTTTCCAAAGGAACAGGGTTTGCCCATTCCTCCTTGTTCCCCGCAGCCCTTGTGCTGAAGATGTTTTCCCAGCCATGGATATGAAAAGTCCTATGTGGACTTCTCTGCCTCTTTCCACGCCCCTCTTGTAAGGGAGATGCTACCTCACGAGCATTTATAGTGTTCCTCTTTCCTCTTCAGTGCTACTCTGGCTTTTGCCCCTGGTGTCAGGCAAGCCAGAAGGGAGCTGGGACTCACAGCTTCCCAGTTCCTCTCTGCTGCTCTGTCACTCCCCAGTTATTCCCCGCTTCTTTGTGCATCTGTGCGAGCCGTCTGGAAAAAGATTGTCCCGTTTGCTGCTTGTGGCTGAGGACTTACCATGGTGAGGTGTGCTGCCTTGTGTTCCTGTTGCTATGAGAATATAAGGAGAATTGTTACTGGTTTAAACTTCTCTCCCCAAGGAAGCTCTCCTGTGCGTGCAGGGAGAAGAGTGGGTGTTAACAGCAAAGTCTTCCCTGGACCAATGCATTTTTGCTCATTCTAACTTGAATTGTCTTTACCTTTTGAACTGTTGAAAGAAATCTATAGCTTATAACCTCACCTATATGCATATAGATAAAGAAGATTTGTGTCACTTCATTTTGGTTTTAAGCCATTCATAAAGTTTTCAAACTCTGCTCTGCAACTGAAAGCAATTTCCTGTATCTTCTGACTGTGGGAGCTGGAACTTCAAGCAACAGTCTAACAACAGCTGTAGCAGAGCTGCTGTATTGCTGCTGCTCTCCCTTCTTAAATAGGAAACTATTGCTGGTTTTTATTTAGTGAAAAAGTTGGGACCTGCTGACCAGGTGAACTGTTGACCAGCTTACTGGTGTACTGGTCTGCCAGGAAATCTACAGGAGGTGTCTCTGACATTGGTCATTGCTTTTCCTAACTCTTAATAGCTTGAAAAGATTTGAATTATGCTGTTTGGAGAAATAAATTTTTGTTGATCACCTAGCCATAGAAAAATTAAAACTGGTACTTCCCACTGCTTTTTTTTATTGTTATATCCACCAGTACTAGGTGAAGTCATGCAGCAAGCTCTTCTACAAAGTGATTCAAAGAGCAGATGAGCTTTTCTCCTAAAATATCAATGATTTGCAGTTTTTTGATCGCCATACAAATTTAGATCAGCTTACACTGAATCACCAGGTGTCCCTGTGCTCTGGTATTTACTTAGCGTTGCCCTAGGGAAGACCCATGTTTTTAAGGGTCAGAGTTGATCTTCTTATGTAGGCAGCGGAGTGAATTGTAGTCAAAGCAGAGGTTGTTCTCTGCTGGTGCTATATTCCATCTGTGGAAACAGCAGGCTTGAGGACTTACTTTGAAGGAAGGTTTCTTGTTCTGTGCTTATTGCTCCTCGGCACGCTGCAAAGGGGTGGTGTTGGGGTCTACAGGAGTGGATGCTGTGATTCTTAGTGAATGTGGACTGAACTTGTGCTAATGTACTTGAGTTAAAACAGACTGAGTGCATGTGGTTTTCTTCCTTAGCTCCAATTCCAACCTACGTGCTTGGCGCTAATGACCAAGAGACCGTGAGCTATTTTCCAGACATCAGTGGCTGCGAATTAGCTGAGAACATCACTTATTTAGGTAAGGCTGCAGGTGGTTTGTGGTAAGGGATGTGCATTTGCCCAGTGATGCTTTCATGAATGTTTTCTAATCTTCCCACTTCAAAGGCCTGCCTTTTTCTGGAAATTTTAAGGTGACATTTGTTATTCTGGGGTTCAGACTGGAGTTGAACTCTATGTTGAAAGGCTGATACGATCTGCTATGTAAAATGTGAAAGAGAACCCTACTTTTTTTGTTGTTTTCTAACACTGAACTTGCTAGCCAAAAGGAATAGTGGTTGAAAGAGCCTGTTCTTTGAGAATATCTTATTCCCATAGCATGCCTGTCTTTGTATGGGGAAGGTTTCCTACTTGGAGTATGATTTTTGCTATGCTCTGAGGCTGTACTGGAGTAGCAGAGGTAAGAAGTGTCGTCTTTAAAGGTAATGACACTGTAGCAAAGCTAAAAGGAAAAACTGGTTTCTTTCTAGAATACCACCTGACCAAAAACTTAACAAGTAAAGGCACTTGCAATTGGCTTTTTTTACTCAGCCTTTATACCGAGCTTTTGATATGGATTGATTTTTGGGAGGCAAGGTAGCAGTGAGGAGAGAAGACTGGGAGTTGTCTGAACAGCTGCTTCACTGTAGGCAGCGTTGGGTTTGAGCCATTGCGCTAAAACATGTCTTCACCATAGTTTATGAGCACAGACAGTGAGCTGCCTGTAAGGGTAGTTTCAGCTGAAGTAAGGCAGGACTGCTGAATTTGGTCCTCTGGCTATGACGTGACTAAGAGATTACTTGCAATGTCTACATCTCAAGTGTGTGCCTGTGTATTAATGCAGGCCGTCGAGGTCTTTACAGTGGTACTTCTGGACTGCAGATCGCATACCTGAGTGGTACCGAGTCCCAGGAGGAGCCAGCTCCTGCCTACAGTTTTAGCACAAAGGATGTAGCAGAATTAAAAACGTCTTTGTTATCAACCCCAAACTTCAAAGGTGTGGATATATTGCTGACATCCCCCTGGCCCAGAGATGTGGGGACTTTTGCCAACAGTGCGGTAAGTGTTCTGTTTTCTGGTGGAATGGGTTTCCAGATGGATTTAACAAAGGATTGCCTTTCTGCTTGCTGTGGCAATTTGGGCTATTGGGCCATCTCCGAGTGCTTGAAAAAGCTGAGAGTAAAAAACGGAGAGTGGATGTTCTGGTTCTTCAGAGAAGAAGGACCAATGGGGAGGGGAATTTGTGAAACTTCAGCGTGTTTTATCTATCCCTGTGTGAAAAATCAGAGTGAATAGCTTTCATCTGATCACAAACGTTCCTGTGAATTCAGTTGGTTACAGTTGCTGTGGAACAATGCTGTTCGTCTCTGATGTGGAATGCTATGCTCTTAGCATCTTCAATACCGCTTGACATTAAGCCGTTCTTTCTCTGCCCTTCAAAACTTTTTAAGTGTTTTGGTGTTTATTTCCATAAGTATCAGTCAGCTGTACTAAATGGTCTGTTTTTTCCTCTGTGTGGATTTTGAGGATGTTTTTCTCATTTGTGTCCAGTTTGCTGCTGTTAATGTTCCTCAGCAGAATTGATTTTCCAGTCATAAATTCAAGTGATCTGAAACCTTCCTGGAGAGCAAGGCCACATACCGTGGCAAAATTATACTTTTTGCTTCCTCTCAGTATCTTCCAACATCCAAGAAGAGATATGATCCTCAGTCTAAAAGCATAAAGAACCCTCCCTCATCTCCCCCTCAAAAGAACCAACCCCACTAGCCTAGGGAGTTGGAGAGAAACAAGTTGTAGGGCTCAAAAAGGAAACCCAGGTCTTGAAATTCCCACAGGGATTCTCTGTAGTAGTTCAGTGTATCGTTCCACACTCAGCATGAATTTTCTGAGAATGTACTCACTTGGATTAACATAGGAGTATATTAGTAGTGATTATATTCAGATAGGCATCGTGTTGGAGTATGTACTTTAGCACCTGAGGATTTCAGTAATGAGTGTTGGAGATTCCCTTGTGGACTGAGACCCTGAAATACCATCACTCAAATAGAGCAGGAAGTTTGAGGAATGACAATTAGGTCTCTTGCTCTTTGTCTCCTGAAGTTTCTCTCACCAAAAGCGGTGTGAGGAGCTAAATTGCACGGATGACAACTGATTCCCTGGAGGAGTCTGTGGATTTCCTTTTCCTGAGATGCTTGGTAGCTCTGGCTGTTTTCAATGGGGCTGGAAGCAGCCAGCCCTCAGTGCAGAGGCTCCTGGGCTCCTCTCTGACCTGCCCGCTGTGAGGGCAGCAGGAGGGAGCACAAAGAGGAAAACTGCTTTCTTGACAGTGGGTTAGTGCCTCTCCCGCTGCCGCAATGATGGGCTGTGACAGATGACAGCGAGGCCCGAATCTCATTCCCTGTGCTTTTACCAAAGATAACAAGGTAACAGATGTAGGCTATTTCTGAACTTCTCTCTTCCCCTGCCCTTTTCCTTCACTACTTCATTTCTCAGTCATTTCTGGGAGCCTTCACCCAAGAAAATGGTTTGAAGTTTGCTCTTTGGTTGTGTTTTGGTTTGCTCTGACTTCTCAGGGATTAGAGTGGGATAAAATTTTGCTTCCTAAGGAAAACTCAGAGCTTTCCTATTCGCGTGACTCGCGCACTAAAGCTTTGGCACTCTGGGCATGTGGTCAAAACTTGTCTTAATGATTTTGACATCTGTTGGTATTTGCCAAACTCACTCTGTGCTGCCCTGGCTTCACAAGACCAAGAGAAGGAAAATATGACAAACCAAACTTGGATTGATGAAATGAGTGGATGCAAACCCCGAGTACAAAGAATGGAATAAATGAGTATGCTGTGGTTGGCAAGAAGAGATCAAACCCTTCTGACTTTTTGTTCTGTTTCTAGGGAATGGTGACAACTATAATCAGTATCTACATTTCCAGCATGCAGTTCTGTATAAAACTGTTTCTTTTCACTACAGTCTGACAGTTTTTTATTAAAATAAAACTTGGTTTCTATTTTGTAGGGAGAAATAGATACCAAGAAATGTGGCTCCAAGTTAGTATCTGATCTCGCTGCAAGTCTCAAACCAAGGTACCACTTTGCTGCCCTGGAGAAGGCCTATTATGAAAGACTTCCTTACAGGTTTGTAAGACCATGTGAAATCATTTATTTTCTAATTAAGAGTTCAATTTTTAAAGAACACAGGAGGACAACTTGACAGTAATTTTATGAAGTCATCCAGCCCCAACACAGGGTCAAGATTGATTCTTAGATGCACATTATTGCCATAATTCCTGCTGCCTTGAAAACTGTGCTGTTGCTGACAGTACTTGTCTGAGTACATCGCTGTGAATCTCATGCCAAGTTAGTTGCCCTTAGTCACATTTAAAGAGTGTTCAGCCTAATTCAGGGGTGTATCTCTGAAAATCTATCACGGAAAAGCTCTTTTGTGGTGAAAGCACTGGTGTCTTCAGTCGTAACTTTGTATATAAAATGCGACTAGTGACATAAGGTAGGTGTCAGAACAACCTACAAATAAAACTAAGGCTGTCATGTTAACGTTGGGTAAGATTATTATCCTTTCAACAGCAGACACGTTAAAGGTGTAGCTGTTTTCAGACTAGTGAATTGTCCTCTCATCTCTGTATTTGGACTGCAGTGAGATGTCATTTTGGTCCGTGCAGCTGTTTGCTGTTAGATCTCATGAGTCTGTTTGTCCTCAAGCTTCCTTGTTCTTGGCCAAAGACTGTATGCAGCTGATGTGCTGTCTGAGTAGCTTCATGGAGGACAGGTGGTTTTCCCACTTTCCTTTTCTATATTGTATATGCCGGTACAGTTATGTTTTGCTTTCTTACAGAAATCACACAGTGCTACAGGAGACTCCCCGGCATGTGAGCAGGTTTATTGCACTTGCTGACGTTGGCAATACAAGCAAGAAAAAGGTACTGACGCTCTTGAATCTTTCTTCTTTTCTCAAGTACAAGTAATAGGGCAGTAAGCCCAGCTTTGGCTAGCTAGAGGACAGCATCGATCACTTAAAAGCTTAACTGGAGGGATTTGCCTCACTGAAGTAATAGATACCATTTGCTCGTTATGTCAGAAGGGTAAGGGCTGCAAGGTGTGTTCTGAGGCATTGTTCTTCTCTACCTGGTCAAATGGCATGTAGCTGTAAAGACAGCTGCAGAGGATTGTGGTTAGAAAGCTGCCATTCCTTCTTCTTTCCCAGCTGCTTTAGGTATTTTCTGTTTACGTAGCCTGCTTTAAGAAGGAAGTGAAATTCCAAAGGAACCCTTACGAATCATTGAAAATAACTAACTTCCGGGATCAGAAGGGGCTGTTTTGTTGGGTTTTTTTTAACTTGTTTCTCTTCCCCCCTTAAGAAAGTTACAGAATATTTATAGAAGGACAGGTTGCTAATGGTTAAGAAGGTAACAAAAAAAGGTCCAGGAGTTCTGGACAGAAAGAAGGCCTGGAAACAGGCAGGGATCAAGGTCGTTTCTTTATCAAGTAGGATACACTGCTGCTTTTCGAAAAGATCTTTCCTTAAAGTGAAACGAATGAACCACTTGAAAGCACTCTATAAACTCTTGCATGCACTGGGCATGAGGCCGGCACAAGGAGTGTGTTTCTCATGTCCTGCCTTAGCTTAAACACAGATTTGCTGAGTTCCTGCAGTGTTAAGTTGTGTGTTACCATTTCAGGGTGGCTTAGTTCACGGCTGACGTTTTCAGAGTTGCAGTCATGGCAAAAGCTTCTTGTATTTGAGTCGTTTGTTTTTGTTCTAGTATCTTTATGCCTTCAGCATTGTGCCGATGAGCTTGATGGACCCTGCAGAGCTAGTGAAACAGCCACAGGATGTCACCGAAAATCCATACCGAAAATTGCAGAAGGACGCACAGAAGACCAAAGCAACCCTGTGTGCAGAGGTACTGCTGTGTTCTCCTTCACGTGTGCACTTTGGTTTCACTCCCTGTGTTCAGGGAGCTTAGAACGGTGTTTGGCTTTAACCTTGTAATACTTCTGTCCGGAACGCTTCAGGGTTCGCTGTAAACTGTTTGCATCGACCAAATTGTATAGATGCAATGCATGGGAGTTTGTTTCAGTGTGCCCCTTCTTAAGCCAACTATATCCTGGGCCACATCCCAAGCAGTGTGGCTAGCAGGTCAAGGGAGGGGATTCTGCTCCTCTACTCTGCTCTGGTGAGACCCCCCTGCAGTCCTGCCTTCAGCTCTGGGGACCCCAACACAAGAAGGACATGGACCTGTTGGAGCCAGTCCAGAGGAGGCCACAAAAATGATCCGAGGGCTGGAGCACCTCTCCTACGGAGAGAGGCTGAGAGAGTTGGGGTTGTTCAGCCTGGAGAAGAGAAGGCTCCGGGCAGACCGTATTGCAGGTTATCAATACTTAAAGGGGGCTTATAAGAAAGATGGAGACAGACTTTAGCAGGGCCTGTTGTGACAGGACAAGGGGTGATGGTTTTAAACTAAAAGAGGGTAGATGCAGAGCAGTTATAAGGAAGAAATTTTTTATGATGAGGGTGGTGAAACACTGGCCCAGAGAGGTGATAGATGCTTCATCCCTGGAAACATTCAAGGCCAAGTTGGACAGGGCTCTGAGCAACCTGATCGAGTTGAAGATGTCCCTGCTCATTGCAGGGGAGTTGGACTAGATGACCCTTAAAGGTCCCTGCCAACTCAAACCATTCTATGATTCTTCCTGCAGGTGTGCATGGTGATGCTGCAGTTAGATCTGCTTGCTTGTTGGGACTGTTCCCTATGGGCACTTCAGCACGCATGACCTTATTCTTTCTAAGCTTGTAGACTACAAATTAGGCCTTTGCAGCTGACCCCCAGTTTTCTCCCTTACAGGTGCTACTTTTTTTGATGTTGCATTTCCACCGTATCCCTCAATGCTGGTGAGCTAGGTGTTGCGTACAGTTTGGTTTTTTTCTCAAGTGTCCTAAGTTACCAACTCTGTGCTCTTTTAAATATCGATTGCTTGCCACCGGAGGGCAGAAGGGTTTCTTCCTGATGCCTGAACGCTGAGCTGTTGGTGTCGGAAGCTTTGAAATCCCCAACTTCATAATTTGATCATCAGACAAGTGGGTTGTGTTCATTCATGTGGAGACTCAGATTATTTCCCTGTGCAGAGCATGTTTTGCTCTCTAAGCATTGTGAGATACTCTGCTAATGTGGACATGTCAATAGCTATCCCTGTATATCTAATGTAATGTAGAGAAACCAAATTGGGAAATCATTGGCATGGGGAAAAATTACTCAGCCTGAAGTTGGGCTTGACTTGGGCTTTGCTGGACCAGTGTGTCAGGTAGGAAGTGCAAGCACGCTCTGCAGCTTTTCTCCCTGGAGCACGCACACTGGCTCCTTCCAGCTGACAGCATGGCTGGGCACGAGGATGACAGACACATCCTGATCCCTTTAGCTCTGACAACCTCCCCGCCCCCAGCTGAGATTTGCTGTTGTGTTCAACCCCTGGCAGCAAGGCTTTAAATAGACCAAACAGTCGATAACTTAATGGAAGCAAAAATTCTTGTACCTTTGAGCTTAATATCCAAGTTTACTGGGAAAAATGCTTCCACTGTACATGCCAGTTCTTCTAGCACGGGTTGGATTTTAGACTGCAGTTGTGCTTTCCTGTGGGAGCCAAGCTAAGCTGGCGTGAGCAGCCCTGCTCTTTGCCATCCTCTTCCCAAGTGCTTTCCTCTGCAGCATTAAAGCCTTCTAATGGCATTTTGCCGTACGTGACAACATGTCAAATGGTTTCAGCCTCTGTGTGAGTCTGTTGGGAGGTTAACATCTCTAAGAAATAAAGACATTCTTTTGGCACTGGCTGTCAAGTGAAAAAGAGATTTGAATACTCGACAAAATCAAGTAATTCTGAATGTTCTGCACAAGGCTAAATAGGAGAACATAACAATTGGGGGCAGCTCTCCCACAATTTTTTTCCCTGGCTGAGGCTGCATATCCAGGCAGGCAAAGTCTGCTGCATTGCTGGGAGAGCTCGATTCATTCTGTTCCAGAATATTGATGTTTTCGCTGTTGATGCTTTTCAAAGGTGGTTACACACTTCTTGAAGAAAAAGCAAGGTCTTGTATGTACTGTGACTTTCTGTGATGCAGTTATAATAGGCTTCGGTTTTCTTTTTCTAAACAGGAAGAACCACCTTGTCAGTTTTTCTTTGATTTGAACAAGCATCAGGGAAAGAAACGTCCCTCAGATGGAAAAGAGAGATGGAACTCCCAACCTAAGCAAGCCAAAAAACCCCGTAAGTATGCGGATGCTTTTTTCCTGAGCTCTTCCCCTGAGACATTGGACCATCTCACTCTTCATTTTTTCTCAAACTGTGGAGCTGTATACAGCAGCTTGCCAACGTGCTCTGTCACCATATTAGATGCTGTGGGAATACAGAGGTTTGTGGGAATACAGGTTTGTTTCCTACCAACCTGACAATCAATAGGTGAAAGAAAAGTCAAAAGCATAGTTTAAAAGCTAGTTGGATCTGTGGTGGTTGCAGTTGGGCTGATGCCATTGACCTTCTGAACCAGACTGGCCTCTGAACATGACAACAGGCAGTTTCACAAAGCAGCATGTTTCTGTTCAGAGAGATTGCAAGAGACTGGATCACAGTGCTGATGAGTTTTTGAAATACCACTTCAGTTGTTCCGTGCTGTGAGTTCATGAAGTATTAATGAACTGGGAAGGGCAGAAGCCCTTCTGTTACCTGTGTATTTCTGTGCTGTAAATCTTGTTAGAGTTTTCTGACTTGAAGAAATTGAAATTAAATCTTTAAGGATTGTGACTTCTCAGTGACAGTGTTATTACAAGCATGGATCCTTAGAAATCTTGGGTCTCAGTTACAAAGAAATTCGGGCTTAAAATGCAAACATAGGTGTTGGCCTTCCCTTTTGTTTCTGTGAAAGCTTTTCCCACTGCTAGTGGGTAAGAAGACATTATTCAAAAATGCCTCTGGTAGATAACTCTGGTTGCCTTTGTTACGTGAGACTAAGTTGTTCAGTTTTTATTTATTAGCTTTCCAAACCCTTTGCATAGTCCTCGCACATAACAGTTCTATGGGCTGAATTACTGTATGCTGAAAAGAGCGCAGTGTCCTTGCTCTATATGTGCCTGCAGAGGCACAACTGGCTGTAATGGCAGTCAGTTTTGATGAAAGAATGTGTGTGGGTTTTCTTCTTTTCCTCCATCACTTCTGTAGGACATACTGCGCCATTGTGCATATTCATATAGCTTCCAAAGTCTTCTGGAGTTTGATGTCATGAGAAGAGAGCCTTGTTGGACTGTTTTGCTCAGAAATGAACCCCAGAATTGGACGTTCAGTTTCCTGCAGTTCTTGGCAGAGCCCTGTCATGTTTATTGCATTTGCAAAGCTGCTTGTCTGTTCTTGTACACAGCCTATAGAGGATGTGAGTATAGTGTTTGACCCTAAGGAGAGGCCTAGCTTATCAGCGCCATCAAATTATATTAAAGGTCACCTCAGGTATCGCGATTTGGGTGTGAATCCAGGTGTTTTGAGTGTAATGAATAGGCCAGAACTGACAAGTGTGTTTGACAGCGCCTGTCCTTGCCTGTACCTATGCAGTAATCTTACCTCATTTGTATTTGTTTGTTTAAATTTGCTGGTGCTTTCTTATTAGTGAGCTGTAACCACTAAATTCTTGGAATTAGTGTTCTTCCATTAAATTACAGGAGTCAATGAGAATGGCGACTGCCGCCACCTCCTCTCTTGCTGGAATTGCCCAAAGGCATCAGTTCTCTGACCAGATCTGCTTCCAGGAGCTGTGTCCTTCTGCAATCTTCAGCACTTTTATCATCTGGGAAGGGTGGCTGGAAAATAACAGCTCTTCCAGATCTTGTTCCGTTCCTTGTTCTGACAAATAAGCCTTGTGCTAACACTTGTTTCTCTTTCCTCTCCCAATAAAGCACAGCCCACGGGGCCCTGCTGGTTCTGCCTCGCCAGCCCAGAAGTCGAGAAGCACTTGGTTGTTAGTATTGGCACACACGTAAGTACCTGTAGCATGTTCTTTGCTACATGACTGTAGAATCGTGCTAAGACATGGCAATATAAAATATCAATCTCCAACTTTAAATCTTAAAAAAACCAAACTTGCTTTATTTGCAGCTGACTCTTGGTTTTGTTTTCAGTTTCTTTGCACCTCCCCTACAAAAGACATAAGTATATAGGTAAAGTCTTTTAAAAAATGAAGCATGGCCCAGTTTTGCTCTGGTAGCAGAGCTGGATTATGGTGCCAGAACACTTTTTGCTCTGCCAGTCCTCATGGTTTGCTTATGTTACCGTCTGGCAGAACTTTTCCAGTGTGAACTCAGTGTAACTGGAACCTGCTTTGGCAGCAGGATGTGCTGTCTGGAATTATGTCAGATCTCCCTGGGATGTTTGGTTCCAGTTTTGTATATATAGATTAAACGGAAGATAAGATAGCTTTAGAGTCAACATCTCAAAGTACATCTTGGAGATTAATTCATTCATTGTTATATTCACTTCGCTTAAAGTTATTGCTCCTGTATAGCATAATCCACTTCAAACTGCCTCAGGGACAGGTTTGTCCACAGGCTTATTTTAAAAGCTGTTAACGATTTTGAAGTGGATTTTCTTGTCGTAGTAGGAAGTTCTAGCCACAGTCGTGAAGTTCACTCAGCTGCTTTCCTGCAGACAAGGCATTTTCTGGCATTCAAAAGATTTTTTTATTTTGTTGGGGGTCTGTTTTGTCCTTTAGCAGTCCCTCTCTCTTTCATTTGTTTAGTAACTAGTAAATTGTTAATAAAGAATCCCTAATAAGTGACATAGAGGAGAAGACTTTCCTGTTCCTGAGGCAGAATTGCTAGGCTGGGGGAATACTGAGAATGAAGTCAGAGAGTAAATTTCCACAGCATGGTAAGTAAGTGTTGCTTGCAGTGAGTAACTGGTGTGTATTGTTTCACTCTAGTGCTATCTTGCCCTGGCCAAAGGTGGCTTATTACCTGATCACGTCTTGATTTTGCCTATTGGGCACTATCAGTCAGTGGTTGACTTGTCTTCAGAGGTGGTGGAAGAAGTGACCAAGTACAAGTCTGCCCTAAAGGAATTTTTCAGAAGCACGGGAAAGAGATATGTCCTATTTGAAAGAAATTACAAGAGTCAGCATCTGCAGTTACAGGTATGGTTTTAGTGTCACCCTGGGAGAATATAAACTTGCAGTTATCCTCAACTTAATTGAAAGAGAAAGCTCACCTTCAAATTTCTCTCTTTATTCTGTGCCTTCCCAGAGTATGGAGAGAAGTCGTCCTACCCACAGATAGAGCCAGAGCAAAAATAAAACCGGTGTGCTGGTTCTGCCACAGTTCTTTAATTCTTCCTGTTACAGCAGCACCGCATTGGTTGTGTTGAGTGGGTGAGGAAAACTTTTCCCTGCATGGAACTGATTAATAAGCCTACAAGGTTTTCAGATAAGTTGCAAGACCTCGCTCTGACTGATCAGCTCACAGTGGCACACAAATTGTGGCGCTCGCATTTGTAACTGAAGGAGGCTGAAAATCTGAAGATATATGCGGAACTCTGGTCATTGTCTACCCATACCAGCCCTTTGAATTTGGTTGGGTTTTTGTGTGTGTGTGTGTGTCCTTGTGTGTCGGTCATTTAGGGGTTTATTGTGGTAGTTTCTGTATTTGGCGGATCTGTAACTGTATCAGAGCGGCCTTAAACTACCACAGATATCAGAAGGGAGAAGGTTGTACTGAGAACTTTTTCAAGCTTTTAGTTTTCAGCTTTTTGTTCAGCTCCTACAGAAAAAGAACTCATAAGTTTAAGACTGTACAGATAGGTGTCCACCTGTCTTGTTTGATGATGCTGAGCAGTACTGAGGAGCATACTAGCTCCAGTGATGGACTGATTGCTTTCTGCAAGTGGTTTGGTTTGTCTTTTCTTCTTTTCACGGAAACGTTGTCCTCCCTCTCCAGGTGATTCCTGTCCCATTGGACTGCTGTACTTCTGAAGACATTAAAGAGTCCTTTATTGCACAGGCACAGGAACAACAGATTGAATTATTAGAAATCCCAGAGCACTCCGATATCACGCAAGTATGAGACGAGATTTCACCTGTTACTTTCCCTCTGTCCTGTCTAGGCTGCTGTTTCCCTCTGAGGTCACTTTGTGTGGTAGGGTTAAGCTGTTGGAGACAGACCATTGTAGACTTGATTTGGAGATGTGCCAGATGTATTCTGCTCCCGGTGAGGTTCCTGTGAACAACAGATGTGTTGCTTATCTGCAAATTATTCCAGCTATGCATAGGGCTTGCTGATTTCATTCCTTCCGATACCAAACACCAGCCCTTTCAGTGCCACTGCACGTCAGATAGTTTTAGATTCCCTTGGATAAGAATTTGAAAGAAAGCTTCCTATTGTATCGGAGAAATGAGTCAGTAGTGACATAGGGTTTTGTTTATGTCTGGTGGTCACAGGGAAACCTGATCTGCGGCAGGAGCCAGAAATAGCACGTGTGCATGCTTGCCTCTTTGTAAGCCATTACAGCTATTGATAAGCCAAGCTTAGAGGCTGACTTCTTGGCTGAGGAAGGTGAATGTAGTCTCTTGACATGCTTTTCTTCCTCTAAAAATGTGCCGTTATTAGTACGGGATGACCTAGCACAGGTTAAGAATGAGCACACCTGCCTGGCGCTCTCATTTAATGACTCTGTAGTGGTAACTGAAGAATTAAACCACAAAAAATATTTTATAGTAGCGCCCTGTATGCATCATCAACTGATGATCCCAGCAGAAAGCGATCTATCGCTTCATCATCCATCGGAAGTTACGGTTTGACATCAGCCACCGACGTGGTTTGGCGTCTCTGGGTTGGTTGGCTTGTTTTGCCGAGTTTCCTCTCTTAAAGAAATGCCTCTCTGGTGGGGAAAGATCTGGGTTTTTTCCCAAAACCGTGCTCTTTGCTGGCGGGCAGGGCTGGCGGGCGGCTGCGGTGCTGTTCGGGAGCGCGGGGTCCG